AGAGTTCTTAAGGGGCAATTAGCTATGCGGACGGGGTTTAGTGTTAGAGGGAGATTACTTGAGCACGTAAAAACGGGGATCAAAATGGGGTTTATCCAGGGGAGCTAGCACGTCTTTTTTTTTTTTTTCTAGAATATCGAGTTACTCAGCACGCTCTATATGCAAAACCCTAAAATCCGTTATCTGTGATGACGGATGATCGCGGGCTTTGCCTTAATGCAGTACATTCAAACTACAAAACCTAAGCATTCATAGGGGGGAAGGACTCTTAAATACTAATAACAATAATAATAAAATGATACTGATAATATTTTAAAATATGCATGTGCGCCGGTAGTTTGCCCCAGCCTGTAGAATACACGGCGTATTCCAGAAGTGATCGGTCCGCAAAAGTCTTTAAGCATTTAAATTAGAGTTAATCAAGACTGTATGATGCATTCTGACTGAAAACAGTCGACTCACTACTAATAGTTATGAAAGGTAAGAAGAGCATCGCTCACCCACCTAGGTAAACCTTGTTATCAGTCAGACGATGGAGCCAAAAAGTATTGATTTGGACGAAACGTCTCCCTTTGAGGTCAATTTACTTCTTCATTGCATGTAATTCGCTGTCAATGTCTTCTAACATGCTTGGCCTAGAACTGTTTTTCTTTAGTAGGGGCAATTAATCCTGTGTAGTTCCATATTGTGCCTTCACACTGCAACATTATGTTATACATGTGATTTTGAACCCATGGCCTCGGCTGATGTTGATCGCCATTCTTCTGTGAGACCTCTTTACTTTCGTCTGATAACAGTCTGGCATATAAAAGAGTATATTGAATATGAAACTCAATATATTATTTTGTAAAGCGCGCTAGAAGAGAAAGTTCCTTAAAGATTAATCTTCTCTCAGGTTAGTCGCGCTCAGTTCTTTGAGGACCGAAAGAGCGACGACGAAAAGTTGGAAACAATTTACCTTTCTCCACCTTGACTTCAAAATTCACTGAGTTTCTGTTAAAATCTATTCAAGAGTTAATTCGTAAAGCTGCTTAACAAGCGAAATCGAAAATTCCTTGCACAGCGATCACGTGCGTGGCGCATCTTTCAAGGAAAATAACCAACCGAGAAAACTCATTATTCTGCCGCCTGACTGCAACGCTTGTATGGCATAACCCTAGTAAAAACTACAAAATGTATGCCTAACTCTGAGTACTTTCTATTGGCACCTAGGACAGAAGGAGTAGTTGAAAGCGCTTGCGCTCAAAAAAAATAGGAATGCCGCGAAGAAAATGGTTGCACGTAAGGCCAAGACACCATTTCAACGTCAACAGGGGTTTTCACTGCAAAAGAATGTGATTTTTGTACCTTTTGCACCTTGGAAGCCTTACTACCCTTAGTGACTAACCTCGATGAAAATCAGTCTGAAATCTTGAAAAAGGTGTCGTAAAGGATAATTAGTGCCAAGTACTGGGAGACAGTCAAGATTTGCCGCTCTGTCGCGTACATGTATGTAAAGGCAAAGCTGCGGATCGTTCGCCATCACAGATAGTGGAATTAGTGGTTTTGCATTCCGACAGCAAGGTTCTGAGTAACTCGGTAGTGATGAAAATAGCAGAAAAAGACATGCTGCCCTAGATAGAACCTCATTTCGATCCCAATCTGTACGTGGCCAATTCGCTCCATCTCCACCACTACACCCCATCCGCACACTGATTCCCTCAGTAAGAATTCTACGACGGTACAAGTAACGATTAACATGCCGTTTCGTCTGCAGCTCCGTTTTTCACTGAAAGGCGGGTCCTGAAGCGGAGTTTGGAGGCGGAGTCACTGGAGAAAAGGAGGCGTCATCGGATCTTTATCTATAGCGCCCCTCCCTTACAATTTTTGCCGCGAAACGAGGACAGTTTTATTCGTCGCGGACCACAGTACCCTCCCGACGCCATATTTTCAACTTCTATATCTGATCGCGGACCGTGCCTTTAATTTGCGTTAGCCTGTCCTGTTAGGGCACCGGAGCACCTTGCCTACATATACTGGAACATCGGAAGTTCATGGAGATATTTGATGGTGCACTAGCTACTGTCGTCATCTGTCATCTAGAAACGTGGTCCTTGCATGTGCAGCGTCGAAGAACGATGCCAACCAGTGCGAAAGAAACATTCCAATTTTCACCTACATCCAAAAACTTTTATTACTATTCATCAATCACTTTCTCATGAATTATTAAAGGCAGTTGGCACGATGGATGGGGCGTTGCTGTCAACGTCACTGGTGGAAGAGGTATGGGGTGTAACCAAACGCCCTCTAGCAGCCCTCCCACCATTCACGCTGGCCATTGCCTCCTTTAAACAGTCTTTGTATTCATGGACTCATTTTTATCGTATGTAGGACACATAATGGGTGGACGAATGATGTGGATGTGGTTCCACACGCACATTAACGATACTCTCCTCTTCAAAGATTGGTGGATTCAGAATGCAGGAAGTAAGTTTTGAATAACTTTGATATAATATTCAGTAGAACACGAGACCTATGCGAATCGTAGTATCCAGATAAGTTGCAAATGCTGGGCGTCATAGGAGGTACCATATCTTTAGCATATCCTATGGTGATAGTAAAAGCGCCCACCATAGCTGATGGTAGGCGCATACCATAGCATAGGGCCTACCATCTACTGTCCTCATTCGCGTGCCTCTTCTTTTACCTTCTCAGGAAAAAGAGAGGGGACATGAGGAGAAGGAGGGAGAAAGGAAAGAGGACGAGGAAAGTAGCAAAGTTTGGGCACAATTTTCGTCCGAAGAACGAACTGAAAATACAACATCAAGCGAATCCAGCTGAGGATACAGCATCGTTGTGTGAAACACACGGGGGGGGTCGTACTTGACCTTGGAGGAGGAGGATCGTATTTGGTAGTTATTGAGAGAGGGGGCCGTACGTGCCTTTGAGAGTAATTGATGTGATTTTCTTGAGCAATTTGTGATATTTTAAGCAGTTCGACTTGGTGCAGGCAGCGAATAGTACTCTATAAGTGTTACCTTGTAAAGACCAGTAAATTTGTGCAATCATGGTGGCTCACTTGTACCATTCCGCAGCTTCACAAGGGTTTACAGATCTCACCCAAATGAGCTAACAAGAACTTAAGAAAACTGGCCAACAGGAGGGTTGCCTCTTTCAAGCCGAAGAGAACCTAACTTTGTTCTGTACTTTGAGTTGTTCTTTTTACAGCCATGGCATGGTCATGCATAGTTGTTGTGATGTTTGCTATTGGACTCGAAGCTGTAAGGTAATAATTTTTTGGAATTCCTTTGCATTAGTATTCTTACGCGACCATACTAGTCTGGGAGGGTGAAACCACTGATCCGCAAGCTCTTTGCCCCTCCATCCATTGTAGGGGTGACATCGCATTCAGCGCCAATACTATTTTCAAAATTGAAGATGAATGTGTGACCCGTCCTAGGAGAGGATTGCTTACTGATTGCCGTTCAGCGGCGCAGTTCGGCGACATGGGGGGGTGCATTTTACACTTTCACTGCTTCACTACTTCCGGTTTACAAGTCTCACTCTGGTGAAACTTATGAATTGTTGTGAAGCTCGCCTAACCACCGTGGTGAAGCGTGTCAACTCATTAGGGAAGGTCGTCAGGTCGAAGTGGCCATTTGTAATGAGATGTAGCTCACTAGACGTGGTTTTGGACGCTGATCTCGAATCTGCCTTTGAAATTTGCAGAACGATTCTCTGAACGGAGTTATGGAGCTTTTTCCCCGCGTTTACCACGCAACAGGTCATGGGATCGGATCCCTGCTGAGCTTAACTTTTTTGCTTCCAGCGCAAACGTGGCAAAAAGTGGTTGTGGCGTTCTACATTAGCGCTCTCCTTGACTTGCCTGAAAAACAGTTTGCGTTCGCTTACTGGCGCGCTTAGTGCCTTATGATCTAGGAGATGTACAGGTGCCCTTGGCGCGCAGTGCAGGCGTTTTCGCGCTGAGCGAGTGCCATATTCGTATTTATGGGGCGAACTACGCCTAGGTAGAGGTTTCTAGCCAAATCTGCCATTTTGACCTGACTTCGAAAAGTGAAGCATCCATGGGTTAGTTCAGTTGATGTTCACACCTATTCAGCTGCAGATACATTCTCCTGCACAAAGCCTCGTCTTGCCACTTCTTACGCATTCATGTTGTTACTGCTCCAGTTTTCCTGGTATCTAAAAGCAAATTCCGTCCAAAGACAAGCAATCGACAAGAGACTGGCCCTGGAACTATTGGTGACCATCGATCAACTGCTACCGCACTTTTCATAGTTAGGTCAAAACCTCACTTCTGGCTAGAAACTTGTCTCCAAGGGTAGTTTTGCTCCCTGAACACGAATATGGCACCCATGGCGTTTGAGTGTTTTCTAGACTCAAAAGAGACATTCCCCCACAAAATGCAGAGGAAGTCCTTCCATTGATTCGAACCCTTCCATGGCGTGCCCGCGAAGCAACACCATCACCACTACGCCATGCCGCCACTGTATGAAGCGCCTTCTTCCCGGCTATTCATGCGAACTGGCTGGCAACCGCGCTCGACTCCGTTTTCCTTCATTTTAATTCTAACAAGCCATCATAATTCCTTTCAGAGAATCGCTTTGCAAATTTCGAAGGCAGATTCGAGATCAGCGTCCAAAACCACGTCTAGTGAGCTACATCTCATTACAAACGGCCACTTCGACCTGACGACCTTCCCTAGTCAGTAAAAGGCTATCTAAAAGGGCCGACACATTGATGGGAAGCAAGGTGCCCCCACCCCCACGTCGCCGAACTGCGCCCCATACGGCATGTGCGTTGCACAGAAATCGGTTTCTCCCCTTCGCTTGTTAACGAAAACCACTGCGTCTGTTACTTTATTCTGTGCATGTTTGAGTAATTCCATGTTGCATCACTGGACATATTCAGATGGCTGCGTTGGGCTGCCGAAGTTCGCCACACTACCGAAAAAACGTGAGAATTTCCAGTTACTTTTAGATCAGTGCCACTTGAGGCACGTTCAGACTCTGTAGTGTCATAGATATTATTATAGTATACTCCATATCCCGAATATAGAGAGGGTGTGGTCGCTTACTTCGTTTGAACATTGCGTAAGGTCCATTTTTCGTGGGATATTTCCATTCAAGATAATAACTATCATCCTGTCCTGTGCCGGATAAAGGCTTGATTAGGATTTCGCCGATACAGCAGCGTTTCATCAGAAGCGCAACAGCACGATTAAATGAGGGACGCTGCCACGCCCTGTCCATCTCCGAGATACGAAGTGTAGATAGGTACGATAGCTAAGGGGGAATTCAATTCTAAATATATAACATGCGCCTAAGCTTTGTCTGTTGGTGTGAGTGTGTGTATGGCTTGTGTGTGTGTTTGACCGGAAATTCATAACTTTCTTCAAAATAGCGATAAAGCGCTCAAACTTATAAGTGATGTAGGGGGTCGGGCAGGAACATTATTGGTGGGTGGCAGGAAGTGATAAGCAGTTGATAAGATACCATAAGGGCCTTATAAAGGCAAAGTCAGCAAATTCATACGCGCGTCACAGCAAAGCTAGAGCATGGCTTTGAGAAGTAAGATTAGGGAAGCAAGAATGGGAAATATCTCGTGGTGGCAGGACAGTGATTAACAGCTGATAAAGACGCCATACAGGAGCCTTAGAAGGAGGCAGGTTTCTAATTCATAACACCGGCCACAGCAAGCGATAGGAACTTTTGGTACCAAAAAGGTACATAGGGGGCAGGGGAACATTATTGGTGGTGACAGGAAAGATACAGGCTGGACAAGATAGCCACGGAAGGGGCCTTCGAAGGAAGGGTCACATAGTGCGGCCCACAGGCGAGGACGTTGGTTCCAAGAGTTGATAAGGGGGATGGCAGCACGGGAACGATTATTGTGGTGCTGGCAGGATAAACAGCTGATAAGTACCATGAGGAACATTTTTTGAAAGAGGGTGCCCCGAAGTTCATAGCACGAGTTGTAGCAACACTTGGGAACTGTTTTCAGCAAGTCATTCAGAAGGGGTTAAGGAACATTGGTGAAGGGAGATAAGTTGTGATATAGTGTGAGGAAAGAGCTCAAAAGGATCAGTATCTGTTCGCATCCTTACCCTTCTCAGCCTAAACTTCAACCCGGTGCCCAAGAAACAATGGTCAGAGGCTTAGTGAGTCAAGTTATTCTATCCCTTAGTGATATGGTTGGGACTGATTCGACCGCTAAGCTCTCGAGTTTCGACGAAAATTAAAAGCCCTGGAAGCTGCTCAACGGAAGTATTAGGATGTAAGGAATGAGGATATTTCACTATAATCTCGATGTTACTACCATCGAAAGTCTTTCAACCGCTAAGATGTCCTATTTCCAACGGATGGTGAGTGTTTCTTAGAAATGTGATAAGCACCAGAAATTAAGAAAAATGTTCGTCAAACAGGAGAAATTATTAATCGAATGTGGCGTACTTCAGAAAAAAAAAAAAGGAATTGGGGCAAGTGTTTTGGGTGCATGTACACGAAGCCTATTCAGCGATCAGTACCATTTACGCATAGGTCCAATCATACGCGCAAATAGTGTCGCGTCAGCCAAGCTTGGTTTCTAATAATTAGCATCAAAAAACTGGCCGCTGAAGAGCACTGAATTTTATTGGGGTCACTTCTCAGCGAGTCTAGGTCGCTACCATTTTTTTGGTTGTCAGGGCTCTCATCGAGAGTTTTGACTTTGACTGCGAACGTTGAGGGCGCAGACGATCAGAAAGTGGACGTGGTATGATTTCTCCGCTGCCTCTATCAGTTACTGTAGAACCTTATATGAAGCTGTTTTGTTATGATAACTGCTGTTTAACGCCGCAGTACGCGTTCCGAATGTTATCACAAGAATGCTGAGTTGTGGGCAAAAGTCGTGCCCCAGGCGGGAGTCGAACCCGCACCTCACGCTTTCCGGGCGAGTGCGCTATCCGTTACGCCACCAGGGCCGCTTTTACCCTCTCAGCTTAACGGCTTTTATGCCGTAGCCTTACAGCACTCACACGTTTAACTTGGTGAGCCGGTCAGCCGTAATCGTTAGATATCGGCATGGAACCGCAAGGCCGAAGGCTTTACAAGTTTTTGAAGCTGTTTTGTTTAGCTTATATGTAGAAGCCTTTTAGATGGTGGTCACACTTGTTCAATCCTGCTCACTACACCAACGTAGCCGTATATGTAATGCAGTCAGTGATGGCGTATTTATTGATGTTGGTCTTCATGACATTTTCTGTATGGCTTTGTCTTTCATTGTGCCTCGGTCTGGCCATAGGCCATTATCTATTCGGAACCAGACGTTTTAAATTAGCATAATAGAATAAACATTTGGGATTTGCCGAGTTCATGTCATTGCTGTTGATTCCTCTTAAAATCGAGTCAGGCAGCGTTCAAACTTTGCGATGACGCGCTGTAACGCGTATTAACATTATTCTGAAGACAGCCCTCGCGCTCAAGTAATACATGGTCGTCCTTCCTTGTGCAAGTAGTCCAGCCCCCAAGCTAGAGACTGTCCCACTCTCGCGACTCCACAGCGAGCGAGGAGCGAGCGATCCGCTGAAAGTTCCAGTTCTAACGCCCGCTCAGTTGGACCGCCCACTTGCTAATCCCTCTGACCGGAGTTCCAGTTATTCTTGTTGGGCCTATGATTCCAGCTAAACCACACACACACACACATACACACACATCTCCTCACACACACATTCATACACTGCAATACCCACTAAATTCTATCAACTTGAATTAACTCGAGCGCACGCCACTGAAGAACACGAACGAACGTGCTAATGGCGATCTGACTCCACAACGCCTCGCACTGGGGAAAATAAATTGTGGGGACGTGACTCCCGTACCATGCCTCTCAATCTCACGCCCATCTGGCGCCCTGATCCTGCCGGATCATGCACAATTTAATCGACCTCACTAGCGGCATCTCAATGATCTCACCTCGCCTGGCATCGATGCCTCATCAAACTGAAGATTTCTGAACGAGAACTTCAGACCAGTCGAATCGATATTCAGGTAGTCGAACTTCGATTTGCTGCGTGTCCTCGAATACGCTATAAACAATCTATCAGGAGAAGATCATCCCCATGATGCGATAAGATACACCTGATAAGCCAGGGCTCATAAAAGCTTCTTGACGTCGAATAAAGCACTTTCAATCGGTCCTCTCCTCCCGTCGGACGAGCTTCATGCCAAGTGCAATGATTTCTTGTATCTACTTTGGTCACGTTACTCTTTCACCCCGTTCGCCCTTTGTCTCAGTAGTATAGTCCTTGATCAACTGTTATGCAACGCTGTGAATAATTCTAGTCGTCGGAAGCTTCACAGTGTGGACCCAGCGCAGGTCTGTTGAGAATTGCCGAAAGTGGCACGTAGGGTAGGGAATTATGAGCTGTGAGAAAGGAGTGGGAAGGAGACGTACAGCAATTTTACTGTGTCCATTGGTAAACCAAGGGAGGATCTAGGGAGGGTGAACACTAAAATCCATGGAGAGACTGCTAGTCTTCTTTTCCTTTTGACGTGAAGAGTCTTAGGTTTCTTTCGACAGCGTTCAGACTTCGCGATGACGGGCGTCGACGCACTGTAATGCGCTGTAACGCGCATCGACGCGCTACAGTTACAACACCGCTCTAAAGCTATAGACGCCACCGATGCCGCAGATGGCCAAGTGTCCATCGATACCACTCTGCATGACTAGGCAGCACCCGGCGTCCATCGATCGAGGGTTCGCAGGTGATAATCGATCTGCGCGATCGTCTGCGGCTGCGCTCGCGCTGTTATAATGATAGCGGGTCGACGCACATTACAGCGCATAGACGCGTGTCATCTCGAACTCTGAACGCTGCCTTATACTAACTAGACTGCTGCTACTTTTGTGCAAAATGCATTGGCGCAGGGTAGAGCATCGTTGGGAGTATCCCATCTGGAAATCGGACTTGGCTTTTGGAGGGTAGAGGTCGTATTTGGTTGGTGGAGGTCTTGAGTGGTTTCGAAAAAATTTTACAAGCCCTGAATGAAATTTTCTCAGTTGTCAACTGGGGTTTATCCCTTTTCCAGTGTGTTATAATATCTCTAGTAGCGCGCTTACCACTCGCGCGGACCTGGGTTCAAGTCCCGGGTCGACTCCTGCCCAGGCCAACCAAGCCTTCTACCCTCCAGGACGGTAAATTGGTACCAGATTCGTCTGGGTAGGATGAGAACTTTGACTTGTACATCGGCTGGCCCCGGAAGGCCATATCGCATTCAAAAAGCCACTACGATTCTGAATGGAAGTAGAATGCGTGCCTGCATCCCACAAAGGGAATTGATCAACAGCGGAGGCTTCATCCCTTATTCTTTTATAGTATCTCTCCTGCCTGTTTGGTGTCAGTTCTTCGAGGGAAAGTGGCGGATTTTATGTGAAGGTGATAGAGAGGTTGGGAAAACTTATCGTTGGGAAGATGGTAGGTAGGGTAGGGTTTGGCATGAGATGTGTTTCGATTGGGAACCACGCAACCAGATAAGGGCAGAAATTGACCGCGATGTGCACACCGTGCGGCGAAAACTGGCATTGCATGCGCGACATTCGCACCAGTAGCGAACTAGTTTGAGGGCAGTGGGCGCTATGGCTGGGAGCAGACGGCTGCGAGCGTCACTAGTTGAAGGGTGGAGTAGTTTGTGGCCAAAATCCCTCCCAAGACCGTTCCACCAATACACCAATGACGCCATGAGGAGCAGCGTGTTGTTTCTCGGGCTTGGCCAATCGGTAGACGGGTAGTATTCTCGAAGGTGGCGGTAAGGACAATCGACCAAAAAAGTCGCTATTAGAGCCTGATCGAAGTTACGGAATGAAGCCACAATATTTTGTTAGTAAGCAGTCCCCGTAATCGATTAATCCCTTGGTTGCGGCCCGCGTTTTTCTTCCATTCACAATCATAGAGACTTATTGAATGCGATGTGGCCTATACAA